TTTGGGTATATTATAATACGAGCCCCACAAACCCCACATCCTACTCTAGCGGGACTATATGGGTGGTTGTCAAAATTATGGTCCCTTTTTTGGATCATTATTACAGTACGGCACCTAATATTTAGGGTAGCCACACAGGGACCATCATTTTGACAACCACCCATAGAACCCATTATAGTAGTTTCCATTTTCTTTTCCATCATCCCCCATATAACCCCAATATAACCCATATACCCCATATTCTACTTCAGGGGCACTATATGTAAACACCACAACAATGGCAGCAGCGTTGTCAGCTTTGCTGACTTTTTCGGGTCAGTGGTCTGAAGCGCGCTGGGTTACCATGAACTGGCCCTACAAAGGATTCCAGACCACGTAGGAACCGAGGATCAGGACGTCCGTACTAAGAATAATAGTAAAAATCATAATAATAGTTGTAATAGTAGTAATGATAATAGGGGCTTGGGGGTTAGAAATAATAGTAGTAACCTTTTGGACGTCAGGTTTGTTCAGTCTGCCACATTGTTGCCGTTTTGATAGCAGACGTTTACGAACGCATGCAAGAATGCAAGATGGTCTCGGCCATAGCCGTCAGGCAGTTGAACGGAAGGCTTTCGAAGCCGGTTGGCTTCAGCCTCGTTCTTTCCCCTGATTACTACTATTAATATTCCTAATTTTACTACTACTATTGCTACTACTATTATTACTACCATTATTCTTACCACTATTATTTGGAGTGTCCGTTTGATATGCCTTGGCCTTGTTGCGCTCTGAAGGAATTGCCGGGCAGTTCTGGTCACAGAATGCTGGACTAGAACTGCCCGGCAACTTCAAATTTCCGACCCACAGCACTTTGCCCTTCACCAGCTTGTCCGGATCCACAGTGTTCATAGTGTTTTACTCATACAGTATGAGCACCACCGTTCCGGGCAATATCTTAGCTTCCAATCCGCGATTTTGCCCACACCAAACTAGAGCATCTTCATGAGCTCCTTGTCTACTCGAAGGCCTTGCTGATGGCTGTTCCTACATCAGGTTCAGCTTCAAGATGCATTCACAGCATCCTCCAATGCGCGGCCCCCGTTCCTAGCACCGGCCAAGCAAAAGTCTACACCAACACCAATGCCTTTCTCAGGCAGCAAGTGTGCGTCCTTGCCTCTGCTACGGCACGTGCAGACATGGCTCAAAAGCCACCACATGGCTTAGGGGTTCTCTAAGGGTGCTCAAGCAAATGCCTAGCCCCTTGGCAACTGAGAGCCTTTTAGCAGCCCAAGGCTTTATCTGAAACCTAATCATATATTCAGGTCCTTCTTTTAATAGAATTGCTAGGGTAGGTTTGGGGGCCGTATACAAACTAAAGTGTTATGGCTCTAGAAGAGGATTACACAGGGGTTAAGAGTAGTAACAATCCAAATTCATGTCCGTACCTACCCCTGTGAGGCCCAGAAGAGAGGTTCGGCTCCTCAGCCTCAGCACCTATCCCCCAGAAATGCTGATGACAATCGCGAATGAGTCAAAGTCAAATGAGCCATAGTCTAAAGAGATATTGTCCCTCTAAAATACGCCCCATAATAATGCCCCAACACTCCCCACTACAGCTCCCTTTTAAGGAGTTTAGACTATGGCTCAGATCACGTAGCCACTTGGGAGTGTGGGCCCTCAGGGTCAGCTCAGGAACCGGCACTCTTGCCACCAAGGGTGGGTCCGACAAGCATTACGCCGAAACGGACCTTAACAGTGCGTTCAGTTGAGAAGGAGCTGTCAGTCCTTTTTTAGCTAGTCTTGATGGCATGTTGGGAAAGGAAAACGGCTCCGCTTTTGCTGTTGCTATGTCTGATCATTAACTTTAACCAAAGACTTTTGCTGCTTCTTGCAAGTGCTGCCCTTTACATGGCTTGGCGAATCTCGAATTGTACTTGCATTTTTCAATCAAACTGTACCGACACCAATCATGACCAATCATTCTGTACCCGGCATTCTGTGGCGATTGTTCCAGCTCTGGGGGTCAAGCCATGAAGGTCTCGAAAAGCTGGATGGTCTTGGTCACCAGCTTGTCATGGACCTCTCAACTGCCACGGAAAGTGGAAGCTTCAGCATATACGTGCATTTTGAGAGCTAGGTGCTACTGCCAAACGGGAGGAGAGACTCACTAAACCCTAAATCCCAAACACTACACCCTAAACCCTAAACTCTAAACCCTAAACCCTAAACCCGAAACCCTAAACTCTAAACCCTAAAACCTAAAGCTAGTGCAAGCTGGGGATGGTGACAGGCAAGGCCTGCAAACTCTGTTTCTGCAGGCCCCGTTCGATCTCCACCTGCAGGGCACCTTGGTAAACCGTCTCACTGATTGCTCAAAACAGTGCAGATGGTAGTTTCCCCAAATACAGGGACCTCAATATAGACCCCAAAATACTACAGTCCTCTGAGGTACCCCTAATTTTGGGAAACCCCCACATGCACCTCAGAGATTGAAGAAGCTGAGGGCATGGCCGTAGTCGTAGTACGGAACTTCAATGCCCGGGAACAAGTCATTGACGATGGCAAAGAAGAGTGGCAGGTCATCCGACAGGAACTTCGGCACCTTGGGTCCATCATGACTTGTGGCGCATGACGCGCTTGAAGACGGTGACAAACAGCTGGCAAGTGGAGTCTCAACTGAAAGCCTAGAACTGAACATCCCGTGAAAGCTTTGGGCCACCCACGTTGGAGTCACGCATTGCACGGATCAGCAGGATGTTCTCATCCTCATCACAAGCGCCCATGTCAGAATTTTCTATAAGACCAAGATCACCAAGGTGGCTGCATGTCCAGTATTCCCTACATGACTTGCTGCGGAAGGACCCTATAATGCCCACTATCCACAGTAGCCCTGCTACCATGCAAGGCCTCTTCTGGATCCGCTCGCTTCAAGCTGCCAGCCATCACAAGGACCGACCTGGCTTTAGGCAACTTGAAGCTTCAAGAGGCCAAGAGAACTTCTGAAAAATCTAGAGGTGTGTTCGCATTCTATGGGATACATAGGCTCACGAGCTTGGCTGTAGGGTAGCTAGGGCATTACACAGGCAAGCTTGCAGAAGTTAGCGCCCAGAATGCCGGCAAGTCATGCGGGCATTAGACTTTCAACTGCAGGAAAGGAACCCTTCTCCAAAACTTAAGTTCCCCTCAAAGATGGATGGCCTTGGACATTAGGACCCTGAACGGACAGCGACCTTTGGGCGTCGCCACTTTGAGCAGCATAACTTCAAGTCTGACAGGTACGAACATACCCTCCCCCAAACTATTATGGAACCCCATATAACCCAGTTTTTCAGGAGCCAGAAGTCTATGTAGGTCCATTTTGGGTTCCATTTTAGTTTAGCGGAGTGTAGGCGTTGAGGCGGGGAGGAGCGACCGATCATTGCCTAGGAAACAGAGCAATGTGTCAATGCTACCAACAATCGCAATACTCGTTAGGGTCGGTAGGAACAGGAGGCTTGCATGTCACATGGTAATTGCTCATGCCATATTTGAACATTCAGTGGCATCATTCTGCAATGCAAAATGCTACATGATACTCATGATGCTATGAATTCCCTTGTACGTTCCACGCTCCGTTCACAAGAATTCATTCATGACATGGTACTTGGAGCTTTCATTCGCTTGTCAGGCTTGTAGGACGCCGACTTCACAGCTCGCATGCCGAAGTCGTAGTGGTCCTGCTTGGACAGCTGCTCCTTGGTATTCCATTGGTTTAGTTTTTTTTTTTTTGTTACGCCCCTTTTACCATCCGCTTACAGTCAGGTAAAGTTCCTGGTTTAGGGTTTAGGGTTAAGGCTTTAGGATACTGACGCACGGTGAGGAGGCTTCCACAAAATTAGCGGTCTCTTTTCAAGTCTGTACAATGTCAACGTCAACCTGTACGCGCCTGTCCCAAGTGAAAGCCTAGGCAGCAGACACCACTGCCAACCTTCTCTCAAATGGAGTTTAGGGTTTAGGGTTTAGGGCTTTTCAAAAAAACCGAGCCAGTCCCCTCAACAAACGGAGACACCAGGTCTTTGCCTGGAATTTGGTAGCGTCCATTAACAGGAGGACCCCAATACAGACCCCGAAAAATTTGATCCTTATTGTTGGGACCCCCAAAGACGTACCTCTAATTTTGGGAAACCCCAAATCCCACCATATACCACCATATAATCCCAGTCTCCCAAACATTTCCATGTTCTTGTCCACTTGATTCTCCATGATTCGGGGATAATATCCCCCGGGTTTCAGAAGAAAGCTTGTAGACTACACGCCCCCAAACTAACATGGAAACCCATATAGTCCCCTTTTAGAAGGACTGTAGTCTTCATAGGGCCCTTTTTTGGGTTTCCATGTCAGTTTCCAGGAGTGTACCTGATCCTTAGTTGGGACACCTCCAAGTTTGGGAAACCTCCATTTGCCGAGTTGCAGAAGAATCCTAAACCCTAAATACCCCCTAAATAACCCCTATATAACCCTTAAACCCTAAACCCTTAACCCTAACCCCCTTAAACCCTAAACCCCCCTTTAAAGGGTACCCCTTTGCCGAGTTTCAGAAGAAAGCTTGTAGAGGTTGGTAAACTTGCCGCTGAGCACTTTGGCAGCACCGAAGCCTGGCAGACGGGCTCTGCCAATGAAAGCAGAAACTGCTTGCGATGGATCAAGTGATGATAACAATAAGAATAGAAGTATAGAAAAATGTAATAATAAAAGTTTAGTACCGAAAGCAATAATATTTATAAAGGTAGTGGCTTGACGCCGCTGAATGCCGCTGCGCACTGAAGCTCTTCAACTCTACGCTGCCACAAGGGGCCTTCGGCATAAAGCATGATCTCAGCAATCAAGGTGTAGTCCGGCACCATCATGGCAACCGGGCGGAACAGCACCTTCAGGGCATGACCCACTGCACTCCAGATTCGGGTGGCTGGTTTCGCAGACATGTGTGCCTTCAGGTTATCTGGCAGCTCAGTTCGTCCAGCATAACCCGGATTCCTCAGCTGCTAGATCTAATCTTTTTCGTGACCCATTGAAACAACGCTTTCAGTGGGCACCATCGCTCCAAACGATCATGCAACTCTGCAAAACTCTGACAGCTCTGGTAGCACAAGGCCCCCTGCATCGTAATGAAGATGCCGCAGGTGTTCTTCACCTGAGATACCAGCTCTACTTAGCTATCCCAGTTGCGGCCATCAACTTGCAGCTTTCCGCCATTTCCATACTATACTTCACAGCTTTGATTTCCACAATCCATGCCCATGTTCTCTCCGTGATGAATCTTTCGTGGAAACAAATGGAACCTTAGTATATTCAACCATCAACCCCAGTCCCTTATACCCACATACCCCTGCACAAGCTCCCAACAAGAATTGTAGGCAAGGTACCTTGAGTTGCCGCGACTCGAAGACAAAGTCCGTCAGATCCTCTGAAACAAGCTGAAACACTCACCAGGGCACGACGACAAAATATGATGTACAAAGCCGTACATGATGCATGTAGCCTGCATACATGTAGACATCTCAGAAATATATATATATATATATACACATATACGCACGTGATGCACATATGTATGCACACCTGTGACTCATATGGTTCAAGGTGCGAACTAGTCTAAACTCCTAATATTCCCCTTAGTGAGCCCTATAGTACTCACCTATATGATCCACTATGAAACCCCCTTATGGAGTCCATGACCCTACTTTAAGGAGTTTAGACTATAGCTCATGTGACCCACTTGCAGTGGTGGAACCCAGGCCACTGCCTGCAGCAGAGCCTGGCGAATCTCCAGCACCTGCCGCAGAACAAGGTGTAAAGGGGGATTTCATAGGGGATTCTAGATACATTTATATATGTATGTATATATATATATGGGGTTTAGGTTTTAGGGTTGAGGGTTGAGGGTTTGAGGTTTTAAAGGGGATTATACGATCCACTGGGGGCTTAGGGCATCTGATGTTTCAGGCTTCTACATTGCTACCTTATTCCATGCTTACCAACTGCAACAGTCCCAACCTGCTGGGCCACCACCGACAGCACTTCGATGGAGATACGATTGAACTCGTCCAGGCAGGTCCAGGCGCCAGCACTGCACGGTTGTTGATGTGGGGGGGGGGTTCCCAAAATTAGAGGTACTCTTTAAAAGGGTCTATAGTGGATATATAGGGGTGTATAGGGAGTAGGATTTCCCAAAATTAGCGGTACCTCTAGAGGGGCTTATAGAGGTTCGATAGAAGTTTCTAGGGTTATCCAGGAATTTATTGTGCCCAGGGTTTCCAAAATTCGGAGTACCTCTGCGGGGGGGCCCTATAACAAGCACTGTATTTTGGGGTCTGTATTGAGGTTCCCCCTACTTATGGAAAAACCGATTGTTTAGAGTTGAGGAGGGAGGGGGTTCAGTTTGACTTCGCCTAAAAAGGCATGTACTACCAGGAAAAAAACATCTTGTTGAGATCTCATTACTGAGATAAGCATGCAGGAATGCCAATGAAGACAGGGAGTTTAGACATTCCGTTTGCAGACACTCATGTAAACAAGACATAACAAAACATTTGTGCAGCCACGACGGCGGCCTAACCACACCACTGTACAGCTTGCCCATCATCTGGTAGTTGATCCTTACATGGGCACAGCAGGTGGGCGGATGAGGCTATAGCCCCCCTTAAGTGGATAGAATATGGCTTTGGGTATATTATAAAAAGATCCCCATATACCCCATATTCTATCTGCTTAAGGGGGACTATGATCCCAAGGCAGATGCCAAACCTCTGAGCTGCAATCTGGTCCGAACAGTTGAAGACAACGCATTGTCGAGCCAGACCTTTTGCCAGATCCTGTGAGGAAAAAATCTGACGCTGTGCTACTCTGTGAGGGTCGGCAACATAATCCCTATATAACCTCCATGTAAATGTATATGTATATATATATATGTATATATACCCGGTTATAATGTAGTATACCTCAGTTTCCCGTCCTTGGTGGACTCTGTCTTCCCTGTACCGGCAGGGCCAGCCGGAGCGGCACCCAGCTTGATGTGCAGGGCCTCGTACGGTTTAGGGTTGAGGGTTTAGGTTTCAGGAATGATAGTAAGAATGGTCAAACTCCAAATAGCAGTCACAATAGCAATACAAGGTAAAGATAAATACCGGGGACCCTGCGCCGGTGATGGTCATCCAACATCTGTCCGTCAGAGGCGTGATGACCAAGCGTGAGAGTGCGCCTGCCATCTGCTGGCACACCCACACACTTTGGGTAGAATTTTATTTGGGGATATTCTGGTACCCAATATAGGGTTTAGGGCCCTATTGTGGAGAATCACACGGAAAAGAAAATGGAAAATCAAATGGAAGCTGGGATTATATAGGGGTTATTAGCCCTTGTCCTGCCATAGGGATACTGAAAGGGTCATATAGGCAGTATATAGGGCCATATAGGGTGCTATAGGGATAATGGACCAGAAAATGGCACTGCGATCTTCGATCAATTGCAGGAGAGGCTCCCATGTACTCATGGCCATACATGATGAAGGCATCCACCTGCCGGCTGGGAAATAAATACTTACCGGTTGTTAGTAGGGAATATAAGGGTTTAGGGTTTAGGGCTCTACTAAGAACCAATTAGAAATAAAGAGCTGCAAAAGCTTCAGACATCCATGCTCAGAGGGCGTGCAGACGTCAGACAGTGCAAGCGCTTATCCAACTGCATGCAACATAAGGTGTACTTGGGATTGCATAGGGATATCATTGGGTTTGAAAAGGTAACATGGGGTTATAGGGTAATATGGGTTAATTTGGAGACTATATAGGGAGTATATGAGATAATGTTGGGTTATATATGCACTTGTCTCTGAATTGGAACCATGATGGTGTACAATTGTTCTGCGCCTGGCGAATGCAGCAATCACCATGGCCACCATCCAGCTCTGGGTCCCAATAGTACCTCAACGCTAAATAAGATCGTAGTGCCCATGTTCTTTTCCATTTATCCCTGTATAACCCCATATATGACCCAAGATTACCCTATATAACCCCTATACGACCATAATACCCTACATAATCCCTATATAACCCAAGATTACCCTATGAAATCCTATGATATCCCTATGTAATCCCAAGGGTGGATCCGACGGGTCGAGGACGTGCAAGCGTGCAAGCAGTAGCAACGTGGGAAACGATCTCAACAGCATGCTGTCTGCACGGTACTCACTGTGTAGGGTAATATAAGGATAGTGGATAAGAAAATGGAAACTACGATATTATGATAGGGTGTATGTTAGGGGTTCTAGACGGGAATAAGGGAATATATTATATGGGGCCCCAGTAAGTTTGCGGAAACTCTTCAGCCAAAAGCTCTAAACCCCAAATGATCCCAAATGGCAAACCCGCAGGAGGCACCGGAGCTGTTGTTGCCACTTGAAGTTCTGGAAGCTGGTAATCTTGCTATCGAAAAGATCCTGAACCAGGCGTCGTAGTAGTAGTAGTAGTAGTAGTAATAGTAGTAGTAGTAATAGTAGTAGTAGTAGTTGTTGTTGTTGTTGTATAGTACAAAGTGGAACGAGCTACAACCTATAACCTAAGTATAAAATTGAGCGTTTGCCCATTTAGCATCGAATGCAGCGTATGATCTCAGACCCTCCTTCCAATTTCACATACTCTGTGCTTCTGCAGGATAGCAAGCTGTCCTGGATGATGTCACGATTGTGCACATCCTCGCACAGTTCACGGAGGGGCCGAAAGGATCCTAATCCTATCGGATCCTTCCTTGCTTCAGTGCCTAACCACCCTTGCAACAGCTTAGGGGTCCTACTTTCATGCCACCATAGTAATGCCATGAGAAGCTGCCCCACGCCCTTTGCTACCTCTGTGTCAGCATAGCTGTTGGTCTCTAGGCTGCGCACCTGTGTGACAAGGGCAACGACACCCTTACGCTGCAGCTTGTCGAGCTTGTCACGAATCAGTTCCTGAAATACCCCGCTGGCGAGGAGGTTTCGATGGGTGCAAAGTCTGAGGACGATTGTAGGCGTCGCTGAATAAACAGACTTCTGTAGCTCACCAAACTCTAAAACACCACCTACTTTGTGTCAAGAATTGCCGCAAGGTCTTGACAGCAGCCCACCCAAATAGCTGCTTCCGCAGCAAAAAGCAGCAGAATCAAATTCACACACCGATCAAGGCCAAGGGGAGCGCTGCAAAAAATACTTGAGAATCAAGCCAAGAAGCAGTAAGACCACCCAGCTGCGACTTGTTCTTCTGAAACCACTTGCCCATCATGATGACCTGCATGCTTGCGATTGACTCTCCCTCGCTTATTTTCATGGTGTAAGGGACAGCGTAGGACAGTCTCTTAAAACAAATGCTATCATAAGTACTCATGAGCACGATGATGTCTTTATGTTGCGATTGAGGCAAGCTGCAGTTTAAATGGTCACTATTCATCGGATCGTTAGTATGACTCGTGGCTTCACTGAAGTCTTCTTAATGGAGTAGTAGAAGGCACGTCAGCCCGGCCTTGTTGCCTTCTGTAGAATTCAGGATCTCTTCTGTTTCCAGGGTCCAGTAGATGGAACCCACAGTGATCATGACCTGCCAGCACATTGTGGACAGAGCCAACGCAGCAAAGCCATGAGGTGCTTCACGGGCAGTTGCAGCATAGTAAATTAGGGATTTAGGGTTTAGGGTTCAGGGTTAAGGGTTATACGCAAGATGGTTCGTAAGTCAGTGGCACTCTTCCGTACTCCTGCATGGGCCTGGCAGTACTGCTTCCGAACCCATTCCTTGCGGTCAGACTCCAGCGCATAGGTCTCCCAACCTGCAAACGAGTTAGCCCATCTTCGGAAAAACTCAACCTGAATTTTCAAGGCCCGCATACAGTTTCAAAGCTGCAAGATCAGCAAATTCCATGCTGCAGCCTTTCTTGACTTCCGCTCTGCAGGTCTTTACCATATATTCCTCGACGCCGCCCTCTGCGCTCAACCACTTTTCCACGCCGTTTCTGGCCTGTGCGGGCAGCGAGCCACGGTTCTGGACAAGGACAAGGACATGCAATGAGATGATGACAGGGGACTCTCCCACAAAGCATGCGGTGAGCTAGGATGCAATTCAGATTGTCAAGAGGAGCCCAGTTCTTCCACCAAAGGTCACACAGACGCCTTGAGCATCTTGAAGAAGGGAATCTCTTCACCTTCTCCTGAAATCATGGCGTGGATGTCCGTGGAGTTGGAGCCATCCCCAAACCTGTCCAAGCATCTGTCAGAAGTTACATGCTCCTGTGAATCATAAAACCTGTCTTTCAAGCAACAGGAGAGAGGTGTCACGTAGAGGGAGTTGGTAAAAATTTTGGAGTGCCAGAGCACGTCAGGGTTTGAAGTGAAAAATTGATCTGCCACCAGATCACACAGAGGTGGCCCAACGCAGGCACCCAAACTCCCATGTCAGGTGCCACAATTCACGCAGAGGCTTTCTCAAGCACCCAGTAAGACCCCAAATACTTCACTCCATGTAAAGGCACCACCTTCCCGTAGTACTGAACTTACTGAACCCCTCCCCAGCCCCTCATAGTAAATGTTCTCGCTCATAGCACCATATTGATTGGTAACATTGATCATTGCTAGAGGGCTTGGGGTAAGTTATCAAAAGGTTGGAACGGATTTCCGAGGCCGGCAAGCCTTAAACCCTTACCCCTAAAAGCCTAAACCCGAAATCCGCCTCAGCTTGACTAGGTTGTCGAAGCACTTCCTCAAATGCGGCTGCACAGCCTGCAAGGAAGGCATGAGGTGGGATTCAAATGTCTCGTCCACTAAGTGGACACTCTATATTTGCATACAGAGGCTCACCCAAAACATGTCAAAAGTCCTACCTCATTCTTGTTTAAGGGCGTTCAGATCGCAGAGAGCACCAATCTGTAAAAAATGTAAGAATACCAAGAGACATTCCTAAAAACTATGCCAAGCCTTTTCAGATTTGAGCCATGTTCCTGAATTGAAGGAGAATCTCGGCCCATCGGGGTCTTTGAAGGTTTAGGGTTGCATGAGTCAGCTGCCAGGTGTAACCTGTACTTAGGGGGTCAGGGAGACTCAGCAAGTATACTTGTGACCCCTATAACGCACATGATGACCCAATTATTGCCTCGTGATTCCATCTTCTTTTCCATAATTAACCTACTTACTCAGCCCCCCAAACCCTGAACCTCAAATACTATAGCAGTTTCCATTTTCTTTTCCATCACTAGCCCTGAACCCTAAACCCTATTTATGAAGTCCCCGTGACCCTCCAATGAAGAGTTTGTGCGCACATGCACGGCACGGGCTCAAGGTAGCAAACCCGGTGTCCATTCAATGTTGCATTTGATTCTCCATTGTTTGGATACTATAATTCCCATACTATCCCTATATGACCCTGCATATGAGGATAGATACAACTTCTTTTCCATTTGATTTTCCGTCGTTGGTATGGTACTATACTGTAATTATACTATTACAACTGGATTTAAACAATCTTGGATTTCAACACCCCCGCAATGCCCACAGTCTCAAAGCTGTTCAGAAATGGTATCTACTGGGCTCATTGATTTTTCTTTCTCCGCACGCCTGCGGACGCTTCGCCTGAGAAAGGATCTCGAGCAGCTCATCCTCAGGGGCTTTGATTCAGATGGGTTGATGGGTTTGGGGGTTTAGGGCTTTATGGGCTTGGGGTTTAGGGGTTTTAGGTTTAGGGTTGAGGGTTTAGGGCCTTGTTGTAAATCAGATGTTAGGAAGCTTCCTCGGACTCTTTTGCTTTGATTCTCAGTTCATATGATCAGAACCGAATCACATTGAATAGCTCTCACTGCCAAGCTAAGCAGGCTGCGTTGGACAAGAAGAAGAAGCGCGGAAAGGCCACGCACTTGGAAAGCAGGTAGTCCTGCGAGACAGCAAACTGCAAAATCAAAGTTGTTCATGCGCTTCTGATTCTGGCCCTTCACTTGAATCTGAAATCACCCTGCCGAAGCCATGCTCGTTTGCGGCCTCCAGCTGCTTCTGAATCTGGTCCAAGGTCTCGCTCGCTTTCTGACAGGAAAGATGCTTGTTGCTACAGAGAGGTGCTGGCATGCAGGGCGGGGGAATCCTTACAACCAATGGAGCTCAAGGTCTGGAAGCTAATGGTTTCTGGATTTTTGATTGTTCTTGCGTACTAGATATTAGAGTTCCCCTAAAGAGGGGACCCCATGGTACCCCTAATTTTAGGAAACCCCGTATCTTGTTGGGGACGGAGCTTCCTGCTTTTCACCCTGCCTTGAAGAGGTCCAGACGTCCAGGCTTGGTAGCGGCCTTGAGGGCCACAGCATATTCGTAGGTCTCCTTCATGATTGCCCGCCACTGCCCATCCTCAGCTGTTTAGGGTTTAGGGTTTAGGGTCTGCTCCATCAGGCAGATGGCTTCAAATCCGCGTTCACGAACAAAAGCAGGCACGAAACGATCTTGCATCTAAAGCCTGCCGTGGTAGGATCAGCATTGGAAGTGCAGCGATCAGCATTCAGTCTTCTTATTCCCAGCAATCATCGATGGTGGAAGACGTGGAGGAAGACTCAAGAGGTCAGTACACTAAGCTAGCTGAAAATGCAGCGGGGCTCAATTTCTTGAAACTTGGCCGACTCTGCAGGCAGCTGTTTCTTGATGTCTCCAGCATTGAAGATGGACCTCAAGATCCGCTGCTGGTGGTTGCTCACAATCAATCATGTCTTGGGGTGATCAGCCTTGCCTTGCAAGACTCAAGCGCATCTCGAACCGTGCCTTAAGAGTTGAAGAAATGCCAAGCGGCTCAAGGTACATCCAATTCCTCTGTACGTTCAGCCACTCGTCCAACGTCTCCTTCAACAAGTTGGATTTGTGCTCATGTCATCGGTTGGAAAAGAACAAGGTGCCCCGGTCCTGGAACAGGAGGAGGTCTTTCTGCCACTGCTCCACCTTCCAAACTCATGGCTATATGATGTGCGCTGAAACTCACGGAGCACGAGGGAATAGTCTGAATGATTACACTCCCGGAAACTAACATGGAAACCCAAAAAGGGCCTTATAAAGACTACAGTCCTTCTAAAAGGGGACTATTTGGGTTTCCATGTTAGTTTGGGGGAATGTACTAAATTGTGTTGAGGTCTGTTGGAGCTACCCGATACTACAATCATGCAAGACATGTATTTCATCGTCCACCTTCTTTTCCAGTTGATTCTCATTTACTTATTTGTGGAACCTGATATAAGCCTATATAATCCCTACAGAACACATACTCCCTATATAACCCCATACGACTCTTGCTACAATGTTTGTTTGTTGTTCGCATATTCGCCTCTCCACGGATGGGGCCAACGTAGCGGCTGCCGGCCTAGACATGGGCAATTCCAGAACAGAAGAACCCCTTTTCATGGGGCTCCCCATATTCCGGACTACAATACTTCGAAGTATCTAAACGTGACCATGATTTCTGGAAATGCCCATGTGCTGAACATGCAGTTTGGAACACAGCGGAAGCTTGCAGGCAAGCGTCGATGGTGGAGATGGTGACCAGAGAGTCTTCCAGAGCCACGGTGATCTCTTCCACGGAACCCAGTACAAAGACATCCTTGCTATCCTGACAGATAACGCTCCAAATCAAATCTCAAACATGCTTCTTCTGCCAGAGCATGCCTAAGCAACTGTCACAAGTGTCACTTCTCCTTGTAGGGATTGATGACCAGCTCCAAGTCGTCCCATGTCCTCAGCATGATGGCAGCTCAGAATGACTTACTGGGGATTCGTAGGAAATAAGGGAATATAATCTTCCCATATCCCTATGCAATATATGTTCCCTTATTCCCTACGACAACCCAACCCCTACTATACACCCTATTGTAATATAGCAATTTCCCAGTAAGATGACAAGCCTCATCTTCCACCTACCATCTGCATAGGGAGCATGGCTCGCTGGGGACGCTTAGGGCTTAGGTGTTTTTCTAATAGGTTTTAGGGCCTTAGGTTGTTTTCTAGTAGGTTTTAGGGCTAGGGCTTAGGGTTTCGGGCTTAGGTTTTTTCTAATAGGTTTTAGGGCTTAGGGTTTACGGCTTAGGTTTTTTCTAATAGGTTTTAGGGCTTAGGGTTTAGGGCTTAAGACTCACTGGGGACCAGGCTTCTTCACCTTGTCCAGCATCTCCTCCAGTCCTTGTTCGGCGGTCGCCTGGCCATCCGAACATGGCAGGTCTCAACTGCAATGCAACAACCCTGCAACCCTGTAGTATATTGGGGTTATATGGGGATAATGGAAAAGTGGAAACTACTACAGTATATTGGGGGTTTACAGGGTTTTTGAGATCATCAACAAATGAATTCGAGCACGTGGAAATCTGTTCACAACTGACGCTCGCCCGTCAGTCTGGCAACGACAAAAAAGCAATCAGCCTAATGTTAACAAACCCGCACCGCTGCTCCTCTGGAAACACAGCAAAATTTGCAACTGCTCTTCCCACGTTCGCATTGCCAATTAAATGCCACAAAGCAAGATCTTGAATCAGAGGCCCGTAGCTTTTGAGCCACACAGCATTTGTACAAGCTCATTCAAGATGTAGCAGCGCAGAACCGACAGAAACACGCAGCTCAGATCGTCCATCTGCCACTACACTACAGCATGCGCGGCAGCCGTGCACAAGGCCATGGACTGCAAGAACCCCAACAGCAAAATCAAAAAAATTCACCGTAGACCCCAAACAGTAATTGAGGGCCACTGCTTGTCATATTTTGGAATACAAACATATGTAAGGCAAATAAGTGACAAATGATAAACAAATGGAAGATGAATGGAAAAAAGCTCAAAACGCATGAAAACAAATGAGACACAAACCAAATCACAGACAAAGTAAGCACAGACGAAACTACCAGTTTCAGACGGGCATCACCGCATCCAGATCCTTTACTCGAATCACAAACATAAACAAGCGAAAGACACGCAAGCGGGAAGAGAAATGCGAGGAAAACAAATGGGGAGACAAATGCGCACAGAAGGGGATACACTTGGAAACAATTGGGACCCAAATGGGCTATAGTCTAGACTCCTAGTATCCCCCTTAAGACACCCCGGGACTACTCCCCCATAAGGTCCCCTATATAGCCCGCCTTTAAGGAGTTTAGAGTACAACTCAAAGGGGAGACAAAAAGGAAACAAGTGAGTCCACCAGACCCAGGGGCTGCTACCATGAGGCCATCCTTTGAGCTAGCATCCACAGGCATAGGGGCTGAAAACTTTATTACTACGACGAATACTAATACTATCTCCCCTATGGTTTTGGTGATTCCTGGGCTCTTTAGCTCCCCTCATTATATTGATATAGACTACCCCTAGCTCCTTAGCTCCCCCCAAATGTATGGTAAGCTATTACTACTACGATTGCTAATACGATTACTATTTACTAGTTACTAGTTACTATTCACTTTTGATATTTACTGTTTACTATTACTATTACGATTCCTATTACAAAGTACTATTTGGCCCTTCAACCTCCTAACCGGACCAAGTCTGATCTCAGAGCTTGCTGGCAGCAGCCCAGGTTTAGGGATTTAGGGTTTAGGGTTTAGGGTTTGGCGTTCAAGGCACACGAAAGCAAGCTAAATTCCAACCCTACGGCGCGAGTAGCATCAGCAGAATGAGAGGTCTCCCAAAATCAGGGAGTCCCCATAGTAAGGATTATGGTCTATTGGGGTCTATATTGGGGTCCCCCTATTTAGGGAAACTACCAAATAGTGTCACACCCAGGTTCTACTTCCTGTGTCATCAAGGTTGGACATTCAACAGCACGACGCTACCTGTAGCATGCTGGGAACACTAAGCTGGCTGAGTGAGAACCAATCGATTTGAGTGCTTGCACAAGAACTTATGCATCATAAAACCCTTAACCCAATTGCCCCTGTATAACCCTTATATAGCCTCTACATAATTCCGATGTAACCCCTATATAGCCAACAGCCAAACTTCACAACCACTCACTGCACTGAGCCTTGCCAGACACATCAAGAATTGCTTCCATGTGCTGATCGACGCCTTGGGCAAGCCGCACCGACGTATGGGGCAGGCTTGCGTTGCATGCCAACATATGCCCATGCCAACATATGCCAACGTTTGCCGAAGCAATCCATGTGCGTCAAGCTAGGCAGCAGGCCCATTGCTAGCAAACCGCCAAGCGTGAACCTTAAGAATTGAGAGAAGTGAAAGGCCTGCTACAATCCAAGCAAGTTTCCTATGTCTTGTGTGCCTTCCTTGGGCCCCGGCTCCTCATCCTCCAGCTCGAGCTCCTGGCCTGATAGTATATAACCCCTATATAACCCCTATATATCCCTAAATAGTTGTTTCCATTTTCTTTTCCATTATCCCAATATAACCCCAATATAACCCCAATATAGCTTTGGGCACGCACCAATCATGGAGGTGATCATCTCCCAATGCCGTGGCCTGAGGTGCTGCCAGTGAACAGCCGGTGCAGACAAGTAAAGACAAGGTCAGCCATTCTGGAAGCATTGTGAGGCCAATGCTTCAACGCCTTGTTTCTCAGCGCCACAACAATGGGAAGAGTGTTTTTGAACCTGGGCATTAGACAAAGCTGGCGGCATCAAGTTGTTCAACGGGATTTGTTTCCATTACTTCTCTACAAGGAGCCAACGCGAAAGTGGTCCAGCTGGCTACAGCAAAGAAAACACTCATATGAGCGCAAGGCTGCGTCACCGACTCTCCCCAGATCTGTGGCACCTGGCTTCAATTTGGCAAGGTCAGGTTCCGGATTCTGCCGTCTGCTCCTACAGCACCTACTTGAAACTCAGATTATGTAATTAGGGGTATATGGGATTATGTAGGGATTACATCAGGTATCTAGGGCTTCAGGGACTATGTAGGGGTACATGCAGTTCAAGGTTTAGGGTTTAGGGTTAAACCCTGAATGCCTAAACCATTTCTAAAACCATGCCTTCCGCTCCATCTCTTCGAATCCTTGATGCAGGCGTCCGCCAAAAAAAGGCCCCAAAAAGTTGAGCAACCAGGAACCCTAAACCCTAAAATCCCAAAATCCTGACCCTAAAATCCTAAACCCTTAAACCCTAAAATCCTAAACCCTACAATCCTAAACGCTGGACCACAAAAACCCAATTTGGCAGGCCTGATTGTCAGGCATTGCCTTGATGGACTGGACTGCGACCTGCTCATGCAGGGCAAAAGTCAAGAACTCTCTGAAGCTCCTGGCGAAGTGTACTTGGAGGCTCAGGGGACTGAAGAATGGGGATAAACTAGGATTACTACATGGACTACTCGCCATCTTGACCCATAACAGCCATCCTAACCCAACAAACAGAAGCCCATGAACCACAGACAATACTCTGCCCGCGGTTTAGGGTTTAGGATTTAGGGCTGCATCATCATTCAGTCCTATCTGCTGGGACCCCCAAACCCTAAGTAAGCCTAAGGCATTCAACCCTAAGCCCCTTAATCTAGATCCTAAATCCTAAACCCCAAACCTCAAGCCGCAAACACAAAACCCTACGTATCTTAAACCCAAACCCCAAACCTCAAGCCCCTGAAAACGAAACCCCAGAGTCGCGCCTTGTTGTACTCCGCAACCTTCTTGGTGATGGAGTCCACATCAACCGTACCAAAAGAGCAGTTGTTCCATTCAGAGCTTAGCCTCAGCTTGATCTTTTTAAAGTCAATACAGGGGGTTGAGTTTAGGGTTGAGGGTTGAGGGTTTAGAGTTTAGTTATCACGGAAGAGAAAATGGAAACTACAGTATGTATGGGCATGGGCTTCTTCTTGGGTGAATATAACACTGACAGCAGCTCATATGGAGAGGGAGGTTCCCACTAACCATAGGGACTACACACGGATTATATAGTATTGCACAGGATTTTTCAGGAAATCTATATGATTATATGGGATGATATGGGCTTGGGATTTCATAGGATTCTATAGGATAACATGACGATTATTGGCGTTCGGGAAATTGTCGCCATAATGGAAATCACTTGGTAGATGACATGGAATAGAAGGTTTACGGGAGAGGTTCTATGGAGTTAAGGCATGATCCTAGCATCCACCTTAATAACACCCAAAATACTTCCCTATATAATCCCCTATATAACACCCTTTAGGGAGCTTAAACTATGGCTCATATAGGGCGGAGTGGAAAATGATTTGATTCTTCATGTGTGGGAGGATGGAATTCATGGCCCGCAAAATTGGACACCAAACATATACACTTACCAATACTTTTAAGCAACCCTATATTCAACCACCAAAAACCCTAAATCATAAATCGTAAGCCCATAAAACCCTACCTTCAATTAATAAGGGATTCCTGTTGCCCTGAAGCCTCCCAAGCCTCAGCTGCGTGCTTGGATGCCTTATCTCCCTTTGCCTCCCTTCATGTACTTCCACGAAGTACTGTTTGGAGTCTTGGCTGTTGAAAGGTAGACTTACTAATCTTACTACTTGAAAACGAAGACATGGAGATGATTACTATGGTGTGACATGAAAGTGGAAAACAAAATGAAAGCATTATATTGCGAGAAGGTGGAAAATGGCAACTGACATGTTATCACATGAGAGACACAAAAAAAAGGCACTGTAGAATACAAATGGAAGCGAAGATGGAAAGCACAAAGTATGCGATGATAAGTAATCAACCGGCCACATTAGGTGTTTCTCAAAGTTGAGAGACATCATCACGTGTAAAATATATCAGCTTGATCAAGCCCTGTGAAGTCATGTCAACCAGCTCATACTTTGCAGCTGTTCCCTTTTACAGGCGGCTCATGCATCAAATCTCGACCCACATGAAAAGTCATGCAAGTGGAGGTCATTCGCAAGGAAAAAAGCGTGTTCAAGATTATTTTGTGTTTTTTTTTAGTGTCACGGCCACGCATTTTGTGCACATGCCGAGGCAAGACAACACTCAAACAACCATGCCAAACATTGTAAAGTGTTAGCTTCTTACCTGTGCATAGGCAGGCATCCAGTACAAGGCACCAAACAGTGCGACGAAGGCTCGTTTCTTGTGATTATTGATTATTGGTAACAAGTCCAAAACACGCAGTTGCAACAAAGAGACCAGCTCACCCTGACACACAGGGAGAGGTTCAGGGACGCCGGTCAGGACATATCCCATAGATTCCCCGGCTCCAGGCGCACGCCACGATTGAGCGATCACGCTAGCCATTACTAAACAAACCATTCGCATCAAGCCAAGCGGTTCTGATGATTCAAACACTGTTCCCCTCTTTGGTGCTGCAACGATGTGACTTTACCCACCCCAGGGTTCTCTCTCTCTCTCGAAGGCGAGAGGCATGTCCAATGCTTAGACTGCCTGTCAGCAGCCCGCTTAAGTGGAAGGAACATGTACAAGGGAAGTCAGTAGCAAAAGCAGAAGCGTCAACCGCCCACTTAGTGGACCGGTTTAAGCAGAACAGGAGCTTAGGGCGTGCGATGCCAAAAGATATTTTACAAAAGAGACGAGCGCGGGCTATTATTAACCCTTTTCCGGGGACAGCCGAAGCTGGACTAGGGTAAACTTTCCAGTCCCGGCATAGAAAAAATTTACCGCAAAGAGAGGCCTCACTATTCGGCTCAGTTCACGATGGAGTGCTTGGTCCCCGGACGCACCGCAGGATTCGTGTCCACTTGCCATGATTGCCCAGGAGAGTGTCAAATAGACAGCTGGAGGTGAATAAACCTTGGAGTGCCGTGGACTCCCGGCTTGCCGCTGGCGGCTCCTGCGAGCACTATTGTGGGCGTAAGCCGCTTGGAGAAAGGCTACACGGGACCGAATCCAGCCTGAGCTTTCCATAGGCCAGTGGAGAAGAGGGTATGGGATAACCCTCGCATAGCTCCAGTGGAATGTCGTCTAGCGCAAGGAGGTAGTTACCCTGTGTTAGAAAGGAGCATCGAAATGAACCCATTGCAGTGGAGATGATGGCTGTGAAAAGTCGGCCTTCATACAGAAAACCGTGTTCTTGGAGTAGACCATAATGTGCAGAAAAAAGGAGTAGAGCTTCGTCAGCAGTGTGCCTGACCTCCCAAGGAGTCAATGTTATTAAGGCAACTATTGCCAGGAGTCTGGCCTTGAATTCACTGCAATGCCAAAGCTGTTGGAGCAGGTAGAGCGTATTGCCCAGCAATGCAGTCCATGGAGTTGGCGGCCAGCTAGTCAGTGAGTCTTGCAGCAGTGTGGAGAAGTGTTGTGCAAGTGGCATCCGGGTCGAAACACAATGCAGTAATGTCAATCTCGATGTGGTAATGTCAATCTCAAAGGTAAGTATTGGCAATCTCGATGTCACTGATGTAGGTGAGGCTGATGTAGTCAGTGGAGCTCATCATCCATGTTCGAAAAGGGGAGGGCGCAAAAGAGGGCCCACTGTGCTTGTGCCAAAAAGCCCACCCCAGGGTTACTTCACACAACCCCTAGTTGTGCGGGTGCCGTTGACCCCTAGAAACATATGGGATCTTAAGGAGGATATGTGCAGAATATATGGGGGCTGTTCTGAGGTCCAAGTTAAGGATTAGATTGTTGTGACTTGGCAGGGTGATCAGCCCAAAGTCCTGACACCCTGAGACCCTGAGTCGATACTTGCGGGGTCAGGCGGACTTTGTAAGTACGTTAGTGACCCGTGTAGCCTATAACCTACTTATTAAGTCTCCTGACCCTCCAAGTAACTTGTCATGAGAGTCCCTGATGCAGTACTTGGAGGGTCAGGGGACTTAAGGAGTAGGTTACTACTGGGGATAACTAGGGTTGCTATATGGATTATAGAGGTTATTAACCTACCTACCAAGTCTCCCTACCCTAAACCCTAAACCCTTAACTTACTAAGCCCCCCTGACCATATACCCTAAATCTACTAGGTCCCCATGACACTCCAAGTAACGACTGAACCCCTGAGCCCCAGGCTCCTCCCAGGCGTCAATGCCTCGCCAAAGCCTTGTAACTTAAGGACTCTGAGGATGGAGGGACCCCTAGTGACCGTCAACTTAAATATGGGAGTAACCAAGGGATAAATAAGGATATATGGGGGTATATAGGGGAAGGGTCTAGGGTTTAGGGTTTAAGGGTTCCCCAACACATGGAGATTATCCCCCAAGAATGGAGAATCAAATGGAAAAGAAGATGGGCATGAAATGGAAGCAGTGATTATAGGGTTTTAGGGTTTCCCCAAATTGTTTGTACGTTTTTGGGGGATCCCTATAACAAGGATTGGAGTCCCCCTCTTATGGGACTTCCTTCAGATCTTCAGAAGTACAGTGGAGCAGTAGTCTAAACTCCTAGGATCTCCCTTAAGAAGCCCTCATATAGTCCCTTATATAATCCCCTCTATAAGGCCTCTTTAAGGAGTTCAGACTATAGCTCAGATAACAAGAAGTCTCTGCAAAGGCTCCTCATACCTCGCTCGAAAACACCGAGGAGGCCACTTGTTTCGAATCTGGAAGGAAGCCTGCGGTTCCAACACATGGGTGATTGTCAAGATTATGGTCCCTTTTTGGGTACCCTAAATATTAGGTGCCGTACTATAATAGGGATCCAAAAAAGGACCATAATTTTGACAACCACCCATATAACTTGGGATGCTCCGGCAAACAGCGCTGATCACATTGATTTTTGTTCAGGCTACAGCCCACGTAGTTATTGGAACATCAAATAGAAAAGAAAATCAGAAATGAAAAGAATACGAATATCTTATTTAGGCCTTTTCGGACAACAGCATATGCGGCATTGTAGCACCAAATCACAGCCCGCTAGTGTGCCCAGACACTGAGCTGGCAAATCGGTGTATCAGCAGGATTGAATATGAACACGCATGCTGAAGAAGCTTGATATCTTTGACCCTGCTCCTGCCTTCAATTCCTCCACATCTTCAAAGGCCGTTGGCCTCAGACAGCTTAAATCCAATGGAGTTCCATGTACTACACACGGGATGCACACATCTTGGCTCAGAACTCAAGTTTGAGCACATCTTGGTAGCGGTTGAACTTTGCCGCTTCTTCCGCGGATTGGTTCACATCTGGGTCAGGCAGAAACTGGAAATCACTGACGCAAAGGAGCGGACAGCAATCATCTAGATTTGCTCTACTTCGCAACGCTGAAGGATTTGAAGCCGTGCTGTAGGTACGATGTTTAGCTGCATTAGCAGGCAACTGCATGTCTTCCCGCGGCAGCAGTATGAAAGGATCATAAATGTATGGATCCGACGTTCTTGCAGCTCGTCCAGGAAAGCGAGGACTTCCTCTCAAAAGCACTACGCAACTGCATAAGAACGTGTAGGTTGAACGACTCGCCTTGCGATTTTCGGCGGACATCTTGGTGGTGTCCGACAGATCTGGTGCATCCAATCTGGACTGCCTTAGCGGAACTGCTTCCACATGGTTGGATCGAAGATCGCTGGACAATTCCTTCACAGCTTAGACCAAAGAAAGCAGAGGCAACCATCAGATTGACTGGAGTTAGGTTGCAGACTAGGTTGCAAAGTGTACATGTACTACTCAACTCGCTTAGAGAAGGATCAAAATCTAAGCTTGACGCTGCTCGGACACGCTTTTACGAAGCTCTGGGATCTCCACTTCCAAGGCCTGCAGCCATCACGTCAAGACACGTTCACACTGCATAACAGCTTGCGCTTTCAACTGGCCATGCTCTCTCCTGCAGATTCTTTTCTAACGCTAGTTTCAGGAGTCCTCTTCAGAATCAATCTGTTGTTGGTGGATGCATTTGATTTCATGTCCGTTTCGGAGCCATGGTGGAAGCTCACTCAAGCAGCGAGAGCCACACGAGGCACGAGGTGGTTGCTTTCAAGTTCCTGAGGCCCTTCCAAAACGCTCAGGAAGGACTCAGGGAACTTGAAAACGACCACAACAGCAGCATTGTTAGCTCCATTGGAAGTGTTTTTCATGACTGCTGCGACAGCATCCCGTGGCTTCTGGCTAGCGCAGAATCACTGCAAACTGGTCCTTGCTTGAGCGGATCCCGCGCTCCATCTGAACCCGAAATAAGGAAATCTGTGTCCTTGACAGCCTCAAGCTGGTAGAGACCGGGATCATGGGCCATGCCGTCGACTTGCCGGCGATGTACCCAACGCCTGGGCCTCCTTGTCCTCTACCCATAGCTCTGTGCCGCCATGCCAAACGATATCTTCAAATCAGCTTGTGTGTCGCCAAGATGGTGAGTTCACATCAACTGCTCTGAAGGCCTCCCTTCACATGTCCGCTTCCACCTCAAAAGGTTTGCGAGGATGTCACGAAGGAGAGGGGGCTGCGCCCGCGACGAAGCAGATGTGCTGGCAAAAGATCTGCTCCACCGCGGAAACAGCTTCCTCTCCAGCGTGCCTATCATACACCAAGGAGAGGCAGAAGCCTGCGTCCTACTTCACATGCTCAGCATTAATCATTTTGCGGGGCTCCTTCTCACCCAGCCAAAGTCTCTACCCCCACAGCTGCCTTCTGCTGGCGACAAGGGCGTATTTTCCACCACATGGCTAACGGCTAACGATGGCTAACGGCGCTCGAGCACTTGCTCAGCCACTTGTTAGGTGAGAGCCTTTTCGGAGCCTTGACAAGCCCTGGCATGGACAGAACAAGACAACACCGCACATGGCATGTCCAGGCAAGCAAAGTAAATGTCACAGACCTTGCTGAAGTGCGCCACGTCAACCTCGGCCCGCTCCTTGCCACTACTCACCTGTGTGAGGAGTTGCAGGCTTTTCACTTTACAAATCTGCATGGACATCCAAAGACAAGTGCAAGCAAGGCAGAAGTAAGCTGAATTGATAATGCTTCCAACCTGCGCCATGAGCTGGTTTTTTGCAGAGGCAAGGTCGTTGAAGGCCTGCCACCCGCACAGACTCTAAGCCTACCAGTCGTCGGTCTTGAAATTTGAGTACGGACACGACCGCAATGCCCTAGCACAAGATCCTGCACACGCAAGGGCAGGATACGATGGGGAATGCTTGATCAAGTATGGCAAGAACACCTGGAGATGATAAGTCCGCTCACACCGGATGCAAATGCAAACGTTCTTCCCAAACATCTGCTGCATAAATTCCCACCTTGCGCGTTTCACTGTCAATTCGAATGCCAAACCTCGGATTCAGCTTCAGGAGAAGCTTTGTGCCAAGTGCTCCTGCCAGAGAGGTTGTTGAGAGAAATCAGTGTCCTATGATGGTTTCCTAGCTCATCTTGCACAACAGGAACTGATACCTGATCTTGATTTCAGAGAATGTTTCGTGCACAGGAAATCGGCTACCGCGGCCATGTGAGAGACAACCGGCATCTCGACAAGTGCTACACACTGAGACTCAAGCTCTCGGATAATCTCCGCCATCTCCTGAACCTGCTGGCTGTGAGATGTCAACTTCAAGTTTCATGTGCCAAGGACGCATGCTGTAGACAGGACAGTCTGCTGGACCTGTCCAGCTAGACCGCGCCTCCAAGAATCTCTTTTCCAGTGATGGGAGGGATGCATCAATCTTGGCCAGGTGGACGTTGAACCTCGTCCGAAGTTGAAAGAACTAGTCCCGGAACTCAACACAAAGCTGGCGTTCTGCTTTTTGAAATTGAGGTATGCTAAAAACAAGAAGAGGGTTCTAGGCGTCCCTTTCAGCAATACATAGGATGTATTGCCAGAAAGTCAAAGCTGCCGCAAGGTAGCTCAACGTACTCGTCCACATTGTTGGGATACTCCTTGAGCCTGTCGTTGGCAGCCTGCTCGGAAACCAGAGTCCACGTCTAGGGTTGAAGGTTTCGGGACAACCCTTATCCCCAACAACCTAGACCCTAAACCCTAATCGCCCTAGAACCCCAAACCCCAAGCCCTGAACCCCTACTAGTCCCTAGCCCCAGGCTCCTGGATCTCGGAACTAAGCTCAGCCCTCCTTGTCATGGCCAGCTCAGGAATGTACCTGCACTCCACGGCGCTTTCCCACGGGTAACCCTTAGCTAGGGTAATATAGGAATTCAGGTAACAAAGATTCAAAAATGTGTTCAAGCCTACTGCTGTTAGGTTCATTGGGGTTCTAAGAAGTTGGTGGAAGTTCTTAAGTTTAGGGTTAGGGTTTAGAGTAATCTTACTCTGAGAATCTCTCCCCTCAGGCCACAGGCTCTGACTATGACTGTAACTTCTGAAGGATGGCTTTCGATCGTCGCGAGTGTCGCTGAATGTATCTGCATCACGGGTTCTACTGCCGTCGCTATGTTGAAAGGGACACTACTCTTTAGGGTTTGGGGTAAGATTAGGAGGAATGGAAATGAGAGTGGAAACTACTATGATGCGTTATATAGGTGTTACTATAAGGATCCGGCAATTTGCCATCCCTAAACCCTTAGGCCAAGATCCATGCATCCTAAAAATGCGGCGTCATGCACCCCAAAGCCTGAAGGCCCCTATGCCCAGAACCACCCTAAACCCTAAACCCTGAACCCTCAAGCCCAGATAAATACAAATTGTATAGGTCGAAAATTAAAACGGAAATTCGCTCAAAACCAGCTCAAAACTCCGGACCTGAACCCTATACAGTTTGCATAAACCTTAAACCCTAAACCCTAAACCCTGAACCTTGAACCCTAAACCTTTGACTACATGTCTCTGCATCCAGGGGGACTGAGCAAGGAGATCGAAGCAGCCTGTGGGCGAAGGCCTGATCAAGGGACTACACAGAGTAGGGTTTAGGGTTTAGGGTTTAGGGTTTAGGGATGAAGGCAGTGCTTCGGATCCTGCCCCACAGGGATCATATTAAGAATTGCATACAGGCATCAAGGTTTAGGGTTCAGGTAACAGTCTAACATAGGGGTCATATTTAGGGCTATATAAATATGCTTATGTTAAAAGTATTATCCAACTGTTAATGAGTGGGGGCAGTACACAAACCGTACTTGAAGCAAGAAGGATAATATCTCTGTCACAGAATGATGGGTGTTAAAGAGGTTAGGAACCAATCCTGTCGCAACAGTATCGAGATCGCTGTGTGTCACAATCCTAGAGCGAAATATCCACATGAGCTATAGTCTAAACTCCTAGTATCCCCTTTAGTAACCACTGTGTACAATACTCCCCAAAAAATCCCCTCACAAGGAGTTTAGAGCATAGCTCGCATCACGCCACAAACTTGGCAACACTGGGGATGCAACAGCAGCATCCGCTGCATCTCTTGGCAATCGAGGCGGAAGATTCCAATATCCTGAAAGCTCAACTGGACATTGGGACTTCTGCCAGCTACTCCACCAAGGTGCCATGAGCGTTTGGTAGTTTCTCAAAGTGAGGGGACTCCAATGTAGACTCCAAAATATGTTAGTCCTCATTATGGGGACCCCCAAAAAAGATCCCCCAGTTTTGGGAACCCCTAATCCCTATAAACCCCTATATACCCCCAGTTTCCATTTAATTTTCCATTCCCTATATAACCCCTAAACCCTAAACCCCAAACCCTCAATCATCACCGCGAGAAACTCCCAACTCTCCATGGCACGCAACGCTCACGGGAGCAGGGCGTTGCCTTTGTCCGCCCCATGCTGCGGATATCCTGGCGGTGCAACAGATAGTAACAGCAACGATACTAGTACTAGTACTAGTAGTAGTAGTAGTAGTAGAAGTGGTGGTGGTGGTGGTAGTAGTAGTAGTAGTACCAGCAGCAGCAGCAGCAGCAGCAGTAGTAGTAGTAGTAGGAGTGTTGATCAAGAAGAAATAGAGATACTCAATAATCATTGGAGTTTGCCCAGGCGGGTGGGATGAAATCTGTGTTCAAGAACGTAGTCTTAGTGGGACCCGAATATATGGGCTCCTAATTACTATTCTCTGCGAATTGCCGTATCATCGGTCTTCATAAAAGTGAAACCCTGCCACACCTGCCTATACGCCCGAATATTGGGAGGACACGAAAGTAGACCCCCAATAGACCATCATCCTCATTATCGGGACCCCCAAAACGGTACCCCTAATTTTGGGAAACCCTCATATGGAAGGATCCTGAAATCCTGAAAATAGGCACCGCAAAAAGGAACCAACGATTTTGATGCGGTTATGTAGGGAAAATGGACAAGAAAATGGAGACTACTGCATCGTAATAGGGCATATATTGGGGTCATAGTAGGACACCCACTTGAGCCTATGACTTTTCCAGTGCGCTGGAAGATAGGATCTTCGTCAACATGCGCAGATCCCAATAAAAAAAACATCCGCCTCTTTCTGCTTCTGGTACTTTGCGAGCGCATCTCCTGAGCCGATTGACTTCCCAAATCTGAAAAAGTGGAGAGCCCAATATAGCCCTAATATAACCCCAATATGGCCCTAATATAACCCCAATATAGCCCTAATATCACCCCAATATAGCCTTCAAGCGTATGCCCAAGATGGAAGGAGGGCTCCACAAAAGAGATCCCAAAACAGCACCTTCCTTTTGGAATGTCCCCAGTATGCACTCACTGGGCAGGATGGTTGAGTGGCCGGCGGAAGTCGTCCAGCGAGGCATCGGCGAAGGTGATCTGAGCAGTGACATGGGTGGCTCAAAAGCAGGGGGTCCCCTTCTTAGTTTAGGGTTTAGGTATCATACTACAGGGATATATAGGTCTGGCTGACCTGGGGGCATGCAAGACCTTGTATCCCTACACGCGCGTCCGCATTCAGTAGCATTTTGTTGAGAAGAACTCGGTCTGCGGCACTGCAGTCAGTGAGCTCAGAGTTCTCAGCATAGATTTGCGCAAACCTTAGGTGCGAGGATCCTAGGCTTAGAGTCAGGGTTTGAGGTGCTGGGCCAAACCTTCGAGCGCAAATGTCGCTTAGACTTTTGTGACCTAATCTGGGCCAAGAAGCTCTTCAAAGCGGCTGGCGTAGGTCACCACCTGAAAAGGGTATAGTCCCCCTTAAGTAGATAGAACATGGGGTATATGGGGATCTTATTGTAATATACCTAAAGCTATATTCTATCTACTTGGGTTAGGCTGCTGGGGAGGCCCTATCATTTCCAAAACGATCATGAAACACCTGCATTTAACGCTAGAAAAGAAAGAACTTTAGCACCTACCATCCTGCACTCTATAGTCCCCCTTAGGTAGATAGCATATAGCTTTGGGTATTTTATACTAAGATCCCCATATACCCCATATTCTATCTACTTAAGGGGGACTATACCCTCACAGTCCACAAGTCAGGCATTAAAGCCGCCTTGTCAAAGAGCCAGTCGTACCGATGGGTGATGTTCGTCATGAGCTCCTGGCTGCAAGATTCAGCTTCTACTTTGTGCATGTGATGCCCGGCACTGAACTCAAACTCCTTGTGCTTCGGATCTTGAGCGACCAAACTGAAGAGATCTTGCTGCTGCTCCTTACAAGAACCATCGCCCCGGCGGATGATCTTGGACTTAGCGAATGCGTCAGGCCTCCAGAGGCAAAGCATCCCCCAACTCAGCCAAGGGAGCCGTGAAGGGTGTGAAATCTTCCACCTGCAGAGAGTCTTGCATGGTGCACAGAAGGCTCCACCAGATGCACACAAGGCGCGAACTAAGTCTCAGCTTGTTTTCGAACTCTCAGCAATCACTTCGAAGCCATCTGCGCATTGGTTGCACTAGCTGCTCGGAGCCCATTCTGGTTCATAATCTGCCAGCAGGCGATCGGGCCCGAAGGGTGCAATATCTACTGATGTAGCCTTTCCATCTACGATAAGCTCAGACATTCCCAGTCCACTTGCAAGGCTGTTGAGAATCCCCCAGCATCCATGTCCGACACAGACGTATCCACCCTCAACTGAAGGCAAGCGCCCCATGGCTGGAAGGCTGTCAGCCGTAAATGGTAGGTAACATGACTGCTTCCCAGTAAGGTTGGCAGATTGCATGTCCGCCGAAACCTTACACACCGTCTTTATGAGCCTCTCACAGACATCATCCCTGACTTGGACATTACCAGGCGTTTCGGACACGACAGTTGGCGGGTCGGGAAAGCCGGTGATGTAATTCTCCCCGTTTCCACGTGGATACACCTCGGGATTGCCCATACCGTTGAAGAACACCGCCTCTGAGAGGACTCGCGCACTCTGCAGCAGAACGCTGTGATATTTCACACCATAAACCTGAAATTGAGGATGCATCAAACGGAGAACCTGGGCCCAGGGACCCATGCAGCAAACAACTGTGTTTGCCAATAATTCTTCTCCATTCACCAATGCTCCAGTGACACGCTTCTCGTCACCTGCATCTTCCGTCAAGACTTCGTTTATGGTGCCCAGCATGAAGTCTGATCCAACTTTCTCCTGCGCGGCTTTCCACATGGCTTCTGTCAGGTCCTTGGGATGCACCTGCGCGATCGTCGATTCGTCCCCCATGAAGCGTTCCCCCTGGGCGCCAGCATCAACCCACTCCAGGGATGCCAACTTGCGCGAGGCTGGCTTGGAGAAGTCCCCTCCCACAGTCACGGCCTTGCAACGGAGACGACGGTAGGATTTCAGTCCCAGTTCCTTGGCCACCTCGGCATGCATGTCAAAGCTCTTTCTCGTCAGATCACGCAAGGGCGTCCCATCATTCCAATCCCTCGCCAAGAATCCCCCAGCCTTTCCACTCGCGCAGCTGGCAATGCCAGCATGATCTACAACAGTCACGCGCCGTCCCCGCAGAGCTAAATGGTATGCCACGGAGACCCCAATGATACCTCCACCAAGAATTAGAATCCGATCTTTGTCGGACTTGTCTTCAGCCTTTCGCAGCACACGAGTTCCTCGCTGTCGCACGGGAAACGCCAAGGAGCGGCTTCTCGCCGGGTAAAGCCAGGATGGTGCAAGAGCCCCCGCACATGGGGCAAGTGTCGGAACCCACATGCTGTGCAAAAGAGTTCTTGTACGAACAACTTGCTCCTTGCGTGCGCCCTGCTTGCTTTGACAAGTTGACTGGCATCGGCTATGTAGGCATTTGGCACCTCTGCTCATCACATGCTTCTTTGCAGCTCATTTGATGCTCAATAGCTATCCGCTGAGAGAACACTCTCCATCAAGTCCATGCAGATGTAAAGCAATCTAAGGACATGGTACTTATCCCTATGACCCTCGTGTATAAGCCCAGTGTTCATGTCATGTTCCACTTTTTTCCATTTGGTTCTCCAGTGATGTAAGCGCGTCATGGCCTGAAGGAATGCGTGGCAGCCAGACACTGCCCGCAGGGCATCCCGCAAGGCGTTCCTCGGGCACAACTCTTTGAAGAAGCAGGCCACGAATCCGGCAGCAAAGGATTTAAGTGGCTGGTCCTTAGTAGAGAACAAGGGAATGTATTATATAGGGATTATGGAGGGATTATATTCTCTTATGCCCTACTAAGAACCAGGAAGTTACAGTGCTGAGCTGGTGGCTCCACAGCATCCCAAATCCTGGGTTGCTGGTAAGGAACTTAAATTAAGTTACCATAATGGGTATATATAATAAATAACAGGGTTTCCCCAATATAGTAACTTAATTTAAGCTCCTTAAATCCCTGTATTCCCCCAGTTTCCATTTCATTTTCCATTTTCTTTTCCATTTGATTCTCCATTATAGGGGGATAATCCCTTAATTTAAGTTCCTTAACAGCAACCCAGACTATAGAGGATCAG